TTCCTTCCTTCCTTCCTTCCTTCCTTCCTGTCTTTCTGTTGTGGGGCCTCAACTCTGAGCCTGGGCTCTGTCCCTTAGCTCTTCAGCTCAAGGCTAGCACTCTACCACTTGAGTCACAGCGCCACTTCTGGCTTTTTCTGCTTATGTGGTGCTGAGGAATGGAACCCAGGGCCTCATGCATTCAAGGCAAGCACTCTGCCACTGAGCCACCTTCTCAGCCCTTGGAACATCTTTCTACTGTTTGTATTGGAAAGATTTTTTCCCCAACGTTTATCTTCCAATTTCTTTTCTCCTCCTCCTCCTCCTCGTCCTCGTCTTCGTCTTCATCTTCATCTTCGTCTTCGTCTTCTATTTTGGTGCCAGTTCTGAAGCTTGACCTCAGGGCCTGGGCACTGTCCCTGAGCCTCATTGCCACTTCTGGCTTTTTCTGTTTATGTAGTACTGAGGAATCTAACCTAGGGCTTCATGCATGCTAGGCAAGCACACTACCACTAAGCCACATTCCCAACTCCAAATTTTTTTACATATTCTTTTTCTATAGACGCACACACACACACACACACACACACACACACACACAATTCTAGGCTTTGATCCTAGGACTTCACATGTGCTAGGCAAGTCCTCTTCCCTTATGCTCCATCCCAATGTGTAAACAGGATTTCAGTATGCTACTGAGGCCTCCTATGTGTTACTTCTGCCCCAGCCTCAAGTGGCTGGGATTGCAGATAGTGACTATGATGACCAGTTTAGCTCTGAATATTTTCACAGTAATTCTGTTTCCCTTGAAAGTTTCATCTCTATCTTATAGCTTCTCTTCCCACTGAGTTACTTTGCTTATATTTGGTTATTTGCTTTCTATTTTATCACATTAGAGGTTTTTCTCAGATGGCTACAAATCCTGAACACTTGAAAATCTAGCAAAATGGTGACTGAAAACCTTGAGGGTGAGGTGGGATGTGGTGGCTATGAGTATCACAATGTGATCTAATTGGTTGCCTTATTGGGGAAAACAATATAATTTTAAGATCTTTTTTCTACTTGACTAGTCAGATTTCCAAGAAACCCCCAGAGTTTTCCCATCTGAAGGTCTTAGCTGGCATCCTCCAGGGATGCAAATCTCAGCATCTGATCTGCATACTTTTACTGGGTCCTTCTAATTTCAGTAAGGTTCTCTAATGACAATGCCCATGTGTCTTCTGGTCCAGAAATACATCATTCTGCTCTTTTCAGAGAATAAATAGTGGGAAAGGAGCATTGCCAGATGGGGATATAGATGCTTCTCTGTCTCTCAAGCATAAATCCAACTTGTAAATCATGCTGGCTCCTCTTCTCTGGCAGGGTTTTGGATACATTTCTTGGTATGCTGTCATCTCCTTTTCAACTTGTTAACTTTCTCTCAAGAGGGAGCGGAGGTAGACTCCATCCATGCCCACATCCCAAAATAGAAAATGAAACCCAGATAGACATATTTGTTATCTGCTTAAAACTGTGATAAAAGAGGAAAATAAACCTTTTATCATTTGAATGAAGAGTAGAATGAATTTGGATCAGTCAAAAGGCTGGTGTTTTTTTTAGTATGCATTACATAATAATTGATGTATGTTTTTTGTAGGTTGTCGTTCCCATCCCTTCATGGATAACAAAAACCAGAGAATCTATCACAGATGACCCCCAGAAATTCTCAACAGAGCTGTCTATAATTTATAAGTACTCCCCATTTAAAAATGAAGCAGAGCTGATGCAACAATTTGATATGATCTATGGAAAATGTGGTAAGATCATCAACATTAACGTTTTGATGCAAGTCTTTGTTTCAGTGTTTTAGGGAAGACTCTAGGAATGCTTCAATCGGGCAGTCAGTTCTTCCACCCATAGAAGTTATGTCTGAAGGAAATCCAAACACCAGTTACCATAAATTCTTGACTTACATGAGCCTGGTAATGTGGAATGAGAAGAGAATGAAGTGTTCTGCTACCCTAGGGATTCCCCAGTCCTGAATCTTACAGCAAAGTCAGGAGATGCTTATGGTATCATCTCAGACTCTATGATGCCAGGCTGATAGGAAAGTTTTCCCCTTATAGAAGGTGCATCCATGTTTCCATGGCTGAGGGTTAGCAAAGGCACTGTCAGTGTTCTTGCAGGTTAACAGAGCCTTCCCCTCATGCTTTCAATCTCTATCAGCTTTCTGTTTAACCTGGAGAGTGCTGGCTCTCCTGACATTTTCCAGTGCATTCTTCCTCAGACTTCCACCCTGTTTCCTCTCTACACCATTATATGCTTGGCCAGAAGCAAGAATCTTACGTGACAGAAAGCTGTGCACACCCTGCCTTTTGCAACTCTGATGGACGTAATGTTTATTGTATAATTTCAGTAGGTTGGTCTCAGGCTGAATCTACTGCCCAGATTTCCTTTCTAAAACAAATGTGTAGTATTTTTGTTAGAATTGTGTATTAAGCCACTTCTTTTCCTTTGTCTTAGAAAAAGTATAATGTCCAACAAGTTACTAATGGTTTTATTAGCACAGATAGAATATCTCTCAAGGGAATTTAGTAGAATCTCTTAGTTGACTTGTGGTTGTGAAATACTCAAATACTCATGGAGTATTTTATTTTATGAAATCTGGTCCAATTGCTTTCTAAAATTTATGCCAGTTCATTTTCCGACACAACTCTGGGTGACAAATTCTGCATGCATGTCCCTGTATAAATTAGAAACATTAGGTTTTGAAAGATGAGGATATGTCTTTGAGGCCACTGCCCTATTAAATGCTTGACCTAGGGTTTAGCCAAAGATATTTAGCTGCTGAAGTTCTTGTTCTTAGCCACTGTTTTACTTCCCTCTAAAATAAGTATTAGATTTCAGTTTTAACTTCTCTGATAATCTTATTTTTCTTAATGTGGTAATTATCTTTTTAAACAATTTGAGCTTTAAAAAATTATTAGTCAGGTCTTAGAACAGAGGTCAGTGAATTACAGCCTCATGTCAAATTCAGCTGTATACTTGTGCTTATAAATAAAGTTTTATTGGAATACAGCTATGTTTATTTGTTATGTCTTCTCTAAGGCTTCTTTTCTATGACAGTAGCAGAATTAAATTGTAATTATATGTGACAGAGCAAATGGCTACAAACCTATGTTTACTCTTTAGTTCTTTACTAGAGAAGAGTTGGCAGTACTAACTATGGAGTTGTATCTGTACAAACTTTAAAAACTCATATTTGTTCTCTGATGAATGGACTTCAGTTCCACCAATGAAAGCTTTGCCTGTAATACAAACTGGGCTCAGGATCCTAACAATTTTCAGAACGCAAATGATGGAAAGAGTGCCACAGTTTGAAAGATTTAATGAATTGAGTAGTAGTAAGCAGTATTATATTGTGGAAAATCAACACTTTTGGCAGAGAGTGGAATTTGTTTCAAGATACATCTTGGAGCTTTTTCCAGATGTATTATTTACTAAAAGTAAAAATGGAAATCTGGTCTACAGAGAACTCAGTTCCACAGAGGAGGTAATAAAGCAATGCCTGGCAATGAGCATATTTATCATATTAACAAGTTAAACATCTGCTTTTCTACCAGGTACTTTGCTAATTATTTACAACTTGAAGCTTCTTCTTAGTGGAGAACCAGAGTTGGATGTGAAAACTGACAAGGAAGACATCCTGATGACTGGGGCTCTGGAGGAGTGAGTAGTGTGTGTGTGTGTGTGTGTGTGTGTGTGTGTGTGTGTGTGTGTTTAAAGTCTGTCTCATCATATTACCAGCAGGTGAGAGCTAGGTGTCCTGCATCTTGGTTCCAGGTCTGAATCCCTGGTCTGTACTGCCAGGACTATTCATTTTATATGTTTCAGCAAAATTTAGGCTAGGCCACAATGGGTAACTTCTTCAGATGTACAAAATCACTAGGAACTGGTGGTGCATGTCTATATTCCTAGCTATTCAGAAGGCTGAGGTCTGAGGACTGTGGTTCAAAGATAGCCCAAGCAGGAAAGTCTGGGAACCTCTTATCTCAGATTAAGCTCCCCCAAAGCAGAAGTATAGTTGTGGCTCAAGTGGCAGAGAGCAGCCTTGAGGGGGAAAAAAAGCACAAGGATAGTACCCAGACCATGAGTTCAAGCTCCAGGACCTGCACACACACAATAAAGGTACAAAACCTTGGGCTTCATTGAAAAGAATGGCAAGGGTAAAGAAGGGTAAATAGAGTCAAAGTACTTTACATTTACATATGTGTGAAAAGAGCAATGAAATCTTTTGAACTTATTTAAAGAAGATGGCAGGGTAGGAGGGAGGGTGATGGAAGGTATAAGCTGGATGAAGGTACACTGTACACAAATATGAGAAGGTCACAGAAAAAATCCACTTGGGTAACTTAATATATACTATTAAAAAGCCCTACTGACATTTGTTCAAAAAGAAATGTACTCCTTGCCGGACTTAAGTAACTAAAACCACTTTGTATATCATTTTTGAAATAAAATTTACATAAAAAACTACTGAGTCACAATCGTCATATATCAAGCCTAGGAATGAATACTTTTTTGATGTTCCCCAAGTGATTCAAAAGTGCCAGCAGGTTTGGAAACCATTGTATAATGCTCCTAAAGTTCTCTAGTACCATAACTCCTATATAAGTATGAAAAAGAATCAACCCTACAGGGGTTATTACTTTCATCATAGATAATCAAAAGCAGACATTAGTGTGTCTCCAAATGATGGTGTTTACCAGATAGGAATATGACCCAGTGACAAAGGTTTGTCCGGAATGGCCCCATCAACTTGCATTCACAGTTACCAATACGCACATTGACAGGTTTAGTCTTTTTGACCATGGGAAAGGTACTGAGAGGCCTAAGTGAAAATGTTTGGAGAAAGAACAGGATACTGAGCAGAGCCAAGATTCTCTGCAATAACTTACTGGAGACTAACCAGCTTGTGCCTACAGTTTCTTGGTGTCAGACTTTAGAGACAGGACCTATTTTAAAGGTAAAATTATCCAGTCTAATTTTATATACCCCTGTTGTCTAACTGCAATAGAAAAGCCATAAGTAAGAGTAACAGCTTTATTTTTACAAGTCTTATTATTTTAAAAATATTATTATTATTATTATGGTGTTCTATAGAGGGGTTACTACTTCATAAGTTGGGTAATGAGTATAACCCCAACTCTCCACTTCCATCGTTGGCCACAAGTTACATAGTATTTTTAAAATTATTTTTAAGCATCTTTAAGTAGTTATATAAAGGGGATTGAAAAGTGATATATTTAATCTTAAATATACTACTAGCCACATTAAATAAAAACACAAAATTAATTTTTATGGTGTTCTTATTTTATCCAGTAGATTCCCTAAATATGATTATTTATTTCAACAAGAACAGTATCAATAGGACATTTTACATTCTTCTTTCCACATCAAGCTTTGGATCCAATGTTTATTTTAAGCATACAGGGAACAGAAATTTAGTCTAGTGGCCAGTGGTTGCTCTATTAGAGAGAATGTTTTTAAATGAAGAAACTGAGGTAAACAGACCAACTAACTAGAGAACTTTTTGTTGTTTGATTTTGACTTTGCCTATGTGTGATCCTTTTGCAGTTAGACATTTTAATGTTTCATAACATTTTTCATATTACCTTTGTTAAACTTTTTTTTCCTGTTGTATATCTTTTTCCCTCTTATTTCAAAACACAGAATTTTGAATATACACAGAGAGGGGAGTTTTTATTCCTTTTGAAAGCAATATACCCAGCCTAATCACTGTTGTGGAATTCTGGGAAGTCTTGTGCTAGCATTAAAAGGCCAGTATGAGGAAGCAAGTCCAGAATCCTTACCAGTAGCTCCATTAATCCCTGCCCCTGCCCTTCTCCTTAACAGTTGGTTCCAAACTGATATTTCATGCTATTTAGAAGCTTTGAATGCAGATTTTCAAATAGTTATCTGTCAGAGTGCCTTGGCATTTCAAAACTAGAAGAATAATTTGACAGCTAAGTTTTGGATTTTTTTTTTTCCGGGGCAGGGG